CTCGAAGGAATGAACTAAACTCAGTTATACCATCGTTCTAACATAATTATAACATCATTCATTATAGGTCGCTCCCTAGCTGTTTCACTGCTGCACATTGTTGCAATCCTGAAGTAGCGGGTCAGATCATTTTCATTCGGACCGTACACCGACAACTTCGAATCAATAATCTCATCGTACCGGTTTTGCGAGACCATGTTTCTAGCCCATTCCACCAACCTAATATCCCGGCCGTCCTCTCCGGCGAAGGGGAAGTTCGGCCGTCTGCCGGTGACAATTTCCAACATTAATACCCCGAAGCTGTACACATCTCCCATCGTGGTGGCCCTCGCCGCGCCGTGGATGTACTCCGGCGGCATGTACCCCATCGTTCCGGCCACCTGCGTGGAGACGTCGATGTGGGACCCTTCGGTCTGCCTCGCCAATCCGAAATCTGCGATTCGGGACTCGAAGTTTTCATCCAAGAGGACATTGCTGGCCTTTATATCCCGGTGAATGATCGGACGATCCAAACTGTGCATATAGGCGAGCCCTTTCGCCACTCCTTTGACGATCTTGACCCTCGTTTCCCAGCTCAGAGGCTCCCGCTGGGCCGACTCCGCCACGTCACACGCCGACGTGTAGTGAAGCCATTGGTCCAGGCTGCCGTTCTTCACGAACTCGTAAATCAGGACCCGATCCGAGCCCGCGGAGCAGTACCCGATCATCTTCACTATATTCGGGTGCCGGATCTTACCGAGAGTCTCCATCTCGGCCCGGAACTCGCGGAAGCCCTGGAAGGCGTCGGCGGAGAGCTTCTTCACGGCGACTTGGAGGCCGGAGGAGAGCTTGGCCTTGTAAACGAGGCCGAAGCTGCCGTCTCCAATTATGAGGTCCGGCGAAAAGTCTCGGGTCGCTTGGACCAGCTCGGGCATGTCGATCCGGTTGATATCCGCTGGATCGAAAGTTGCGCTCTCGAGAACGGATATGGAGGAAGGCCGGCGGCTCCGGTATTTGGAGACTACGCAGAGGATGATGATGCAGGTGACGATGCAGCTCAATACGAAGCATCCTGCCGCCGCAACGAGAATTTTTAGAGTTGGGCTTAACCCATTGAGATGCAATAGACCCATAGATGCAAAAATTAGAAGAAAGGTCTGTGAATTGGAGTGGAAAAGAGAAAGACCTGTGCTCCGGAGATTAGTACATGATTCTGGACAGGAAGATCATGCCGAATACGACCCGGTGAGAACTGAGAAGTTTCGAGGAGATAGCATTGACTAGAAGTGGAGTCAATGGCTCAACTTTGGTCAAAATTTCTAAAAGCCATAACTAACTAGTCTAACAACTAGATGAATTAGTTTAAAAGCTTGTTTCTTGAATATTACTCCCTCCGTAACATTCATATCTTCCCACTTTCCTTTTTTGGACGTAACATTTATATCTTCTCATTTCTAAATCTTCCCATCATACCCTCAATAATTTAAAAAATAACACACTATTACACCTACTTTTTTTGGATTTATCCTTCATTCCATCACATTATTTCACTATCTTCCCATCATACCCTCAATAATTCATACCCCATTTCACTATTCTTAATCTCACTATAGTACTTGAATTCATTGATTAATTTTTAGTAACTCATCATCTACCAATAATTTTTTATTTTAAAATACACTATAGTGACTCTTATCTATTTACTCATACATATTGACTAATCATATTTTTATCCAAAAACCTAACTAGTCATAACTCTATTACTAATATACATATCATTTTTTACTAATACCTATTTTAAGATCGATACTTATTTTTTTGGTGCGGTAGTGTAAAACACATTGACTATCTCCCAACGTATATAATATTATACGTTGTATATGATTGAATCAACTGTGTAAAACTAAAACAAATACTACCTCCGTCCTAGGGAGAAGTTCCCAATTTCCTTTTTTGGCAGTCCCAACAAGAAGTTTCCATTTCCCTAAATGGAAAGTTATTTTACATCAAAACAGTGCCAAACAGTGCAAAACAGTGTCGAAACAGTGCCAAACAGTGTCGAAACAGTGCCAAACAGTAAAATTTACCCCCCAGTAACTTTATTTCCTTAATGTGTGTGAAAGTCAACCCGGGAACTTCTCCCTGGGACGGAGGGAGTATAAAGGTAGGTGTTGCCAAAAGTTAAGGGCAAGCAGTGAAGCAACATATAACACCCCCTCCAAATTGATATCGGTTGGTATGTTTAATTGTTTATAATATCACTCAGCTTACTGTGAAGACAATTAATCGGGTAACATTTAATAATAATACGTAGTACTCCGTATATGTTAACCATTAATTGGTTAACCAAAAAAACATTTTAGAAAATCAATTTTCAGCCATATCTTCTAGGCAGTTCGGCCATTTCCATGTCTTCGTTTGTTCGTTCGCCAGAGATTTCTCAATTCTCATAGCTGGAGCCTATATTTCTCAATCCATTCATTCAGTCTTTATACTTCTCTGTCTCCCCTATATTTAGTGTGGTAATTGTAGTCGTATTACCCACATGTTCGGAGAAAGTCTTCGGATGAGACATTTGTCCGCAATGGTTGAGAGCTCCAGCCCTGTTCTTCCGGCAGTCATGGCCTCGGCCAAGATCATCTCCAGACTATCCTTGCCTCTTAGGACCGGGTATGTTGATACCAAAATGAACTGATGGTCTCTGTTAAAATTAAATAAAACATTAATGATAAAAATAAGAACTTGTACTGAGAGAACAAGACTTCATATGAAGGAAATAGTTCGTAGCTTATTTCGTCCATTACATGCATGATACATATATATATTACAATGGTTGGTGTGACCGTGTGAATAATAATAGAAAGGGAATAATCCATGGGCCATGAATAACATGCACCCATATACGTATGCTTAGTAATGAAGAAACATTGCACATGAATAATAATAATAATAATAATAATAATAATAATAGTAATATTAGATCAATAATTTCAATACTCCCCCTCAAGGTGGCGTGTGAAGGTTGCGAACACCCAACTTGCTTTTGAGAAATTGGAAACGATCAGTGCCGAGCGCCTTAGTGAATATGTCCGCAATTTGGTGTGTTGTAGAGATGCAACATGGTTGGATTTCACCACTAGCAACACGTTCACGAACAAAATAACAATCCATTTCTACATGCTTGGTACGTTCATGAAAAACAGGATTAAGCGCAATTTGTCGAGCCGCTTGATTATCACAAAAGAGAGATGTAGGTCCAATTTGAGCAGTTGTTAAGTCTCGAAGTAACCATCGCAACCATAAAATTTCACTAACTGTGACGGCCATGGCACGGTATTCTGCTTCTGCGGAAGATCGCGAAACAACAGACTGTTTTTTTGTTCTCCAAGAGACCGGTGAATTTCCAAGAGTGATAAAGTATCCGGTACTAGAGCGACGGGTGTAAGAGCAACCTGCCCAGTCAGCGTCACAGTAGCCTTTTAAAGAGAAATCGGTGTCTGCAGATAAGAAAATGCCTTGTCCTGGGGTTTGTTTCAAGTAGCGAAGGACACGTACAGCAGCATCAAGATGAGATTGACGAGGTTGGCTAAGGAATTGGCTAAGTTGACTCACAGGGAAGACAATGTCCGGACGAGTGACGGTAAGATATAGCAGGCGTCCAATCAAACGGCGATACAAGGAAGCATCAACAGGAGGGCTATCATCATCGGGTCGAAGTTTCAAATTTTGTTCCATGGGAAACTGACTAGGACGACTGGCTAGAAGACCGCTTTCTTTCAGGATATCCAGTGTATATTTGCGTTGACTTAGTACAAAACCCTCGGGAGAACGGGCAACCTCGATACCGAGAAAGTATTTTAGGGTACCTAAGTCTTTGATGCTAAACTGCTCGTCCAGGTACCCCTTTATTTTGTTGATATGGGAAATATCATTTCCAGCTAGAATGACATCATCTACATAGATGAGAGCAAAGGTGTGGATTTGTCCTTTTTGAAAAATGAACAAGGAATGATCTGCTCGTGATTGGCGAAATCCTACTGTTAGGAGTGACTGAGTGAATTTGTGATACCAATTACGAGATGCTTGTCGTAGACCATAAATGGACTTCCGTAATTTGCAAACACGAGTGTCACCACTTTTGGTAAATCCTTGAGGAACGCGCATGTAAACGTCCTCGGAAAGGTCCCCGTGGAGGAATGCGTTATTGACGTCTAATTGGTGTACTTCCCAATTACGTTTGGCGGCAACGGCCAACAAACACCGTACGGTGACAAGTTTGGCAACTGGAGCAAATGTCTCATGAAAATCAATCCCTTCGACTTGTGTGAAACCTTTGGCAACCAATCTTGCTTTATAACGTTCCACATTACCATCAGGTTTATATTTGATTTTATAAACCCATTTAGAATCTATTATTTTCTTTCCGGGTGGTAGCCGGACCAGGGTCCAGGTACCGTTTTCTTCCAAAGCATTGATCTCCCTTTTCATAGCCTCCCGCCACATAGGATCCGAAATAGCCTGTGAAAAATGTTTTGGCTCATCACGGGAAGTGATGGCCGTCAAAAAAGCTTTGTGTTTATTAGAAAACCTCTCATAAGTGATAAAATTGGAAATTGGATATAATTTTGGGTCGGTCTGATTTGTGGTTGATCGGGAATGATCCAGGGATGGCGGTAGGTCCATATCAAATTCTGCAAGATGCTTGGGGATTCGGCGAATTCTATCGCCCTTTCTTATCTCGTTCGTAGGGGCTATCGATGAATTAGGATTAGGTGGCCCATGTGCCGGTTCCAAATCCTTCTCCCGTCCATCTAACTGCTCATTATTAGAGTGTTGTGTAGAGGGAAGCTGCGTATGCGGTGTATGGAGACCCTGATCTGTCCCATATATCTCCAAACATGGGTGTGGGGTGCGCTGTTGTCCGGTAGGTGAGAGCTGACGGTGAGCTGGCCCTATCTCGGTGTTTGTGTCGTCTCTGCGCATGTCCCCACGTCGGCACACTGGAGTGCTGCAGTCTGGTTGGGAATTGTTCGTTCCAGGATGTTGCTCGGTTTGGCTTCTTCCAGGAGGTTGCTTGGATCCACCCACGTAGTCATCCTGGTGACCGTAAATGAATTCCAAGGAGTCCAGGCAGTCCATTATCACTGAAGAGGGACCACTCAACTGCTGCCTGTTGACTTTTCTGCTATTGGCATCATCTTGGCGTTGTTCGGCCATAGTATGGCTATCTCCAAAAGAAGGTATAGTGCCAGGCCCCACAATCTTTTGATACACACGATTAATAATAGTACCAAAATCAAGCCCTTCATGATCAATATTTTTAAAAGGGAACTCACTCTCAATAAAAGTCACATCTCGAGAGGTATATGTATTTTGTTTTTGTAAATCAAATACCCGATAAGCCTTTTGACCATATGGATATCCGAGGAACACACAAGGACTCCCCCTTTCACTAAATTTGTCTTTGCGTTTGTTGTTATGTGCATACACTAAACATCCAAAAACACGCAAGTGTTTATAGTTAGGTTCCTTCCCAAATAACATCTCATAAGGGCTTTTATTTAAAATGACGGGTGATGGCAGCCGATTAATGATGTAAACGGCAGTGAGGATGCATTCCCCCCAAAAATCAATAGGCAATCCAGACTGAAAACGAAGGGCCCGAGCAACCTCTAAAATATGCCTATGCTTTCGCTCCACAACTCCATTTTGTTGAGGAGTGTCTGTGCATGATGTTTCCAAAATAATCCCGCGTTGTTTATAATATTCAGATAAAAAGGTTGTCTTAAATTCCACTCCATTATCTGACCGTACACGCTTAACCCGTTGTCCAAATTGATTTTCTACCATATTGCAGAAATGTATCAAATTTTGGCAAACCTCAGATTTATTTTTCATAAGATAAACCCAAACGCCTCTAGTAAAGTCATCAACAATAGACAAAAAATAGCGTGCTCCGGAAGTTGAATCACATCTATAACCTCCCCATATATCACAATGTATCAATTCAAAGCAATGAGTGGTCTTACTGGTACTTTCCGGAAAAGGCAAGCGAGTTTGCTTAGCTCTCAGACATGGATCACAAAAATTGTTGTTCCGTCTGAAATCTTTGATGGATGTGATGTGTTGTAATTTCCCATCTGAAGCATGTCCTAAACGTTGATGCCATAAATCTGAACTTGAAGCAACAGACATTGCTATCCCTTCACTTCTTTGTTCCTCTATGTAATAGAGGCCATTGCAGAGTTTTCCCACACCAATTAGTTTTCTTGAAGAGGTGTTCTGCAAAATACATAAATCGGAGGAAAATGTGAATGTGCAATTAAGATCGCTAGTGAGTTGACTGACTGAGAGCAAGTTGCAACGGAACTGCGGCACATATAAAACACGTCGAAGGTAGAGCCCATTAGGTAGGTATATGCTGCCAACTGCGGAAACAGGAACAAATTCACCATTTGGAATCTGGACCGCTGGCTGAGAAGGTTGAATCAAAATGTTGAACAAATTTTTATCATCACAAGTGATATGCTCACTTGCCCCTGAATCAATTATCCAGGTGCTAGTGTACGGCAGTCTTCCTTCCATGCTGGCTTGAACACTTGAAGGGAAGAAGAGATAATAGTTTGGGATTTTAACAAATGGCTAAACTCTAATTTCCAGGTTTTGGCTCTGATACCATGTTAAAATTAAATAAAACATTAATGATAAAAATAAGAACTTGTACTGAGAGAACAAGACTTCATATGAAGGAAATAGTTCGTAGCTTATTTCGTCCATTACATGCATGATACATATATATATTACAATGGTTGGTGTGACCGTGTGAATAATAATAGAAAGGGAATAATCCATGGGCCATGAATAACATGCACCCATATACGTATGCTTAGTAATGAAGAAACATTGCACATGAATAATAATAATAATAATAATAATAATAATAATAATAGTAATATTAGATCAATAATTTCAATAGTCTCGAGTCATTTGGTGTCAACATTGGTTATATGAATTCATGATGTATTTTTGTTACACTCAAATTGCAACCTGGCAGCCACAAGCCTGAATTCATACTGGATCGAACATAAATGAATAGTAATTCGAAAATTGTTAAGCAAAATGTACGTATGAATTCCGGAGTAATATTTTAACTTTATTAACGATTAACCGGCGGTATTTAATTTCAAAGTTGTAATCGTACTGTAAACCGCTTTTGTATCAATTGGTTAACCGTACCATAAGATTTAAAACACCCCTACGGCCCTACCTCCACCACAATCTGGCTCCCCTCTTGCTAATGAGCAAGTTATTACATGTAAAAGTAATCAATTGCTTCTACGTGCTATCTGTTTCAATATATGATAATTTATTTGTGTTAATTTAATGTACTTATTGAACACACGTGCTCAATGTGTTAACCTCATCGGCATACATACTAATTAGTGAATATGTCACACATCATTAAACTTATCTAGGATATATGTGCATTTCTAATTTCTATATGGATTTATTGATTACATTATATTTCAATCCCATGCGATCAATAGTTCAATACCATTCCCGAATCAAACTAAATTGAATATAATTGTAGCACGTAAATTTCATTTAAAAATCACCATAACTAATTTAATTTCATGTTCGTGCAAATTTATTTGTGTGTGTTGAGGTTAAGTTCTAGCACCCCGGAAGCCCAAAGCGGGTTTGTCGGATCTTTTAAGTATGAGTATTTGAGTGATTATTTAAGGAGTTGATGGCTATTCTAAAGAACAAACAAAGAAGAAGGTAAAGTGCGTCACGATCTATTTAGTAAATATAGAATATCCACAATACATCCTTAGCGAACCGAGTCTTTAACGTCTAGTCTAACTTGAGAGTTTACCAAGAGAACAAAGAGAGTGGAGGGAGACTAAACTATTGAATATAAATTTGTCAACTATTTATAATGAAATAAATGTGTGTATTAATACTACGTGATGATAGGTGATGGTGGCGACGTGGCGTGCCCTGATTAGCTAATACCCAACCATAACATCGTTCATATATGATGCTTTAAATATATTTCCTATCAATTTTTTGGTAGAATTTGAGAAAGATGCAAGTGCTTGACCATCAGTACAAATCGTAGTGTGAGAAAGATGCAAGTCCTTATTTAGCCCCTTCGGGAGTTGTGTCCCGTTCAAGCCATGGATACCACCACCGTGAGACCGGTAGCTTGACCGGGCTCGGTTTTGTCCCTAGCATGAACACTAAGCCCCTTGTGCCGATAGGGCCGTTGGTAGTATTAGTTTTAAGAACAATTACTATGTATTATTATTATTAAAGAAATTAGTTAAATATACAAGATTTTTCTTTAAGGAATGAATGTATTTATTTATAAAGTTCTTTATGAGTGAAAGTATATTTTTCCTTACAAAGTATCACATAAAAAACAATTTGTGTTTTAAAAAACACGCGATAAATGTTGTGTAATGTTCTACATACTTTTTGTGAAGTTTTTTTTCCGTCTGTCACAAACAAAAAAATCATCATAAATAGTGTGTACAAGTGTGTAAATAGTAAAGTGTGTATCTGAAAATTTATAAGACCTATACAATCTCTTGGATCTAACACATCCGCACTTGTAAAAATCATTTATTTTAAAAGTACAAACTTAATAGTTTGTAACTTTTTTAAAATTTCATTGATGAAAAAGTATCGACACATATAAAATACGAGTACTACGTACATCCTAAAGTTTAATCTACTCCGTTTAAAATTAGCCGGAAATGATTTGCCTGATTCGCACACGCACGCACGAATGTAAAAACTCTTGATTGTGCTTAAATAAAAGCAATTTTTGAGAAAAAGTGATTAGTAATAAAAGTTGGTAATATTTGGTAAAATAAGTGTTTTTTGTGTAATAGAAAAAGTAAAAAATAGATTCAACAGGAAAACCGAGAAAGTAAAAATTGGTAGTATTTGATAACATAAGTGATTTTTTTTAAGAAAAAGTCAAAAACACTTAATAATTGTTTGAATGGGAAAGGAACTCCAAACGCCAACGCGTCCCCCCTCCCCGGATCACAGAATCGACGACGCCCAGTCGCCCGCCCTTCCGCTCGCATACACCACCATTCTCCATCCAAAACCTTGTAAAACCCATTATATTTATAACTATTTGAAGCTCTTTCCGTTGCAGTAAGCTTCAATTTGTGGTTGAATGTACTGAGCTTTTATTCTCTCCGCGCCAGTACGGCGGTCGCGTTGGCCGTTGGGTCGAGGTGGATTTGTCGGGGAGAGATGGACGCTTTCGACTTCTAAGTCCTGGACTCGGATACCTGCCTGAGTTGAGACAGAAGAAGAGACGGACTGCACATGGCAAAGCGCGTTTACGAACTCTGGAAAGGAAGCAATGTGAGAATTTCGTTTTTGTTTTCCTGCTCAATTTTGTTTTTGTTTTCCTGCTCAATTTTGTTTATACGTGAGGGCCTTGGTTGATTTAGTGAATTGCTTCCTCATTAGCAAATTTGACCTCGAGTTGTTTATTATGTGGGAAGTTTTTAGGGCATTTGAGTTGGTAATACTTAGAGTGTAGAGGCCACCGAAAGCGTTATTGTAATCTATATAGGTCATTTGATCAATTAGCCTTAGCCCTCTCTAGGATTATTCTTGTTTATTCAGCTAGCATGTAAACAATAGAAAGATATGTCAAGTTTGATCATGGATGCTGTTAGCTAGAAAACTAGATAAAGATTATTGTATCGAATCAAAATGACAAGTCACGAGCTGTGAAGGAAATTATTCCTCATTTCAGGTTGTTTTATGGAACTGTGGATGGGTATGCTTATAATAACATATTACAAAGAGAGGGAATATGCTGTGTAGACTGTGTAGTTCTATACGTAGAGGCAGGTGAGACCATACTGGGATAAAGCAAATGATCATATGTGCATCGTAATGATATATAGAGAAATTTGGGTTGGATTTGTCTGTTAATGTTGATTGAAGATTAACAAGTGGCAGAGGCTAAACTTCTGAAACATATACCCCTTCTGTAATCTGTATTGATTCTAGAAGTCTTCAAGTAGGGTTTCAGATGTTCTAAAACTCACATTCTATCCTTAAGTTCCCTCTCTTGAAAATGGGGAAATAATTTCCTGCATACCATTCAGCACCTTCTTCCGACACCAGTCGAGGATTACCATATGACTTGGTGAGTTATGAATTATGATTGTCATTTTTCATTTCATATGAGTACTTTGTTACAGTCATTGTTTATGTGAATCATCACTTAAGCTATCAAACACTTTATGATTTCACTCTCAATTTCCTATATGTTTATTTTAGTTGCAGCATATATTTCGATATGCACGTTAAAGTTATGTGTTCAAGTTTTCTTAAAAAAAAATCTTTCTTTCTCTCACAGAAGTTTTTTCTTGGCGGAAGGTTGATATTTGGACCTGATGCAAGGTCATTATTGCTCATCACTTTACTTCTAGTCATTGTGCCTGTTGCTATTTTTTGCGTCTTTGTGGCAATACATCTTCGCCATCAGTTTTCACCTCACAATGCTGGATATGCTGTCATAGTGGCACCAATTGTCTTTGCGGTTAATGTAAGTAACTGTTGTGTGCATGTTACTCTAGTTTTCCACATATATTACTATATTGATTATGTATCGTTTCTGATGCTTTTGATGGACTTCATTTGTTTGTATGATTTTATTTTCTGCTTCAATTGGTATGATTGTGCTTCTCTTCAATCTCCATTTGCATACATCACCTATGCATGTTCTAAGCTTATATGGTACTTTCTTAAAGATTTATAATTGTTTAAGATTAATAATTTATTATAAAATAATTTTCCATGAAATGTATTTATTACATTTGACTTTGAAAGCAGGGCATATGCTCGATATTCTTATTTTTCTTAGAATTTTATGCTACGAATCTTTATGGTCGAATAAATGTGCTAGAGAGGAGTTATATGGTGAACTCCATACATGCTGTTGTAGCATGGCGTGGCATATTATGAGCTTAGCTCTTATATTGGAACAAAGTTTACCCGTATGAGGAATGCTTTTATGCTATATAGCTTGTGTATGTCTTACCATAGCGGGATACCAGGAATGTCAACCTATTTGATATGATTTGAATGGACAATAAAGACTTAGAGCTTTCTATGACTCTCTTATACAGACCGATGGATTTACGTGTATGAGGTTTTTCTGTTTTGCAATCTCTACCCCCTAAACTCATCGTTGCACCGGCAAAGGTTGTGTACTTTATTTGGTTATGCATGGAAATCGTGATAGCTGATATGTTGCTATTTGTGTACTTTCTTTGGTTAGTTTAAAATGCTTTGCTTCATTAAGCCCCCACCTCGTTCGTGTTTTTTAATTTGTGACAGTTACCATCATATTTCATGTTTAACATTAGAGATATAATAACATTTTGTAGGTATTGATGTTACTTTTGCTTACATCGGCACGTGATCCCGGAATTGTTCCACGTAATGCACATCCACCGGAGGAAGAGTATCGTTATGACACATCAACACCAGCAGATATCAGGGGAAGGCAAACACCCAGCCTTCAGCTTCCTCAAACAAAGGAAGTAATGGTTAATGGAATTCCAGTAAGGGTTAAATATTGTGATACCTGCATGCTCTATCGCCCCCCTCGTTGCTCTCATTGCTCTATTTGTGACAATTGCGTGGAGCGTTTTGATCATCATTGTCCATGGGTGGGGCAATGCATAGGATTGGTAGGTTTCCACATGACACACGTCAAATGTCTCTTGTTTCTCGTCTTAGGGTTATACATGTAAGTTATTTTAAAGTAAAAGGAAAGTGTCATCCCACCATGATGGTTCATTGTTTTAAATGTGCAGCGCAACTACCGTTTCTTCTTTTGTTTTATTTCGTCTGCGACACTTCTCTGCATCTATGTGTTTGCCATGTGTGCTTTCTATATTAAGGCAGTGATGGATGATAATAAAAGCACAGTGTGGAGGGCAATCAAAGAATCTCCAGCATCAGTAGTTCTTATGGCTTACTGCTTTATTTCCTTGTGGTTTGTTGGTGGACTCACTGGCTTCCATTCCTTCCTCATCCTCACCAATCAGGTCTGTTTTTTCCTCTTTTGATATTATTGACTTCATGTTGTTGTTTATTTAGGATTGGGTCTCTTGTGGGGGTAATCTCTTGGGTTCAAGCCTTGTATACAATAGGTTTGACCATTTTCTTATGATGTCGTATTGGATGCATGTATAACCGAAATCTAACATTGTTTGTGCCAGCTAGTATATATCAGGTTGCCCATACCATCTCCTCAGCCAAATCTGTACCCATATTTCTTCATTGTCAGCCAATTTTGTACCCATATTTTATACATGAACCTACAGACTCTTCCAACAAAAAGGGGGATTCTGTTTCTTACATAGATCGATTCACGTTAGCCGACCCCAAAATCTTTTGGAATTAAGGCTTGGATGTTGTTGTTATAATTTTGCGAATCCTGTTATATTGACTAAAAGCATTTGAAAATATAATCTAGGCTGTTGATTGTCTCAGTGTGGATGGTCCATTCTTCTCATTTAATCTAACATATAATTTTATTTATGAAGTACAAATCCGACAAGCTGCAGACTGGTGTCCATGGAAGATTAAAAAAATGGTTTAAATGGGGAAGGCTTTGGAGGCTACAGTTCATATCTTGATATTTATGAAAGATTTTATTAAAATTTGTTTTTGTATTATAAAATATTATACTCCGTATTTAACAAGTTATATACTAAATCCTCCCAAGTTCACCTCGGAAGTCAAAACTCCTCCTTCCAAACATCCCCTTAGGGGCGAGTCCCCTTCTGTGAGAGACCATGATATCTGAGATGGTTGATGGGTGGGCCTTCATGTGTAATATTGTTCCCCAATGATATGACTTTTGGTTCTATAACATCACCTTTTGTACTGATAAGCTCACTAAGTGAATAGCAGCATACCATGAATTTCAGCATTGTGGTTTGGAGTGATCCATGTTGTTTAAGTTTAAGCAAAGTGATTGCCATTACCTTCATTTTATATTTCCTCTCAGAGTTGTTCTCTCTTTTCAATGCTAACCTGCCATTTCTTAAGTCGGGTTTCCTTAAATTTTCAGCTCTAGAGACAAATTGAATGAATGCCTTGATTTACTTAAAAATGTGGACCTATATCCTGAAGACTCATTTTTATTATTATCTTCGAAAACAAGGGTCTGACACTCATTTTTATGGGCGCGCTAAATTTATGACCTACATTGTGCTGTCTATGCATGGATCTGGGAGAAATAGGAACATCGTTCATTTTCTCACTTTTATATGGCTACACTATACATTCTGACGTGTTTTCGCTTTTATACCCACCTCCAGACAACTTATGAAAACTTCAGATATAGAGCAGACAACAGGGTCAACATTTATGACCGTGGCTGTTTGAATAACGTGTATGAAGTGTTTTGCACAGAAGTAAAGCCATCCCGAAACAACTTTAGGGCTTTTGTGCAAGAGGAGGGGGAGGCACAACAAAGGCTTCCTCCTCTTCCTGTGCTGCCTACAACAGCTGTGCGAGAAGATGAAGAAACAGAGGGAACATATCGGCGTACAGAGGTAGAAGAAGACGATCTGGGCATTGGTCAGGTTTCGTGCATGGGGGCTGAGGGGCAACGGATTTTGTACGACCACACCAATGGAGCTTCATCTTCTCGATCAGGGCGGGGAGAGGATCCACGCATCGCCCAAATGCAGCGGAAATTGGAGGAGCAGCGACGCGCCTTAGAGGAGCAACGAAAAAAGGACGAAGAAACAAGAGCCCGGCTGGAAGTGATGGAACGGATCCTCAGCGCCGGATTTCGGTTTCAGCCTCAACCGTATATACTGCACCCTGAGCAGACTCCTCAAGTTCCTCATATGGGCGGTTATTTCCGTTCCAACTCCGCATCCGAGATGCCTTCACTTGGATCTTTTCAGGATGTCTCTTTCCAGAACTTATTTCAAACATCTGGAAGCAGCCAAGGAGGAGGCAGCCAAGGAGGAGGCAGTCGCGGAGGCACTCGCGGATTCCAAAGCGAAGGCCAGGGTGGAGGTAGTCGCGGAGGCAACCGAGAAGAAGACGAGACCGAAGATGATTATCTAGATTATGATGAAATTGGATATTATCATAACGGTCGGAAGAGTATGTAATAATACATTTTTAATTTAAATTGAACATTTCTAGTCTGTTTATTGAATGCGTATTCTAGTCTGTATTACTTTTATTCCAGTTTGTTAATTCTACAAGTATTTTTTTAAAATAAATTTTTTAAAGAAAATTTAAAACATAATTTTTAAATTTTTGTTTTTTAAAACGAAAAAAACTTTTTTTTTAAAATCTAAAAATTTAGTCACGGATCTGAGCCGTGACTAAATAATACGGATTTTACAGAAATTATTTTTAAAAATGTTTTATTTTTAAAATAAAAAATATAGTCACGGATACCGTCCGTGACAAAATTTAAAAATTTGAAAATTTGAACGCTAAAAATTTGGCGGTTTATCCAAAATTTGAAAACTTAGTCACGGATATGTCTGTGACTAATATGTCCGAATTTTAAAAATAAAAAAAAACTTAGTCACGGAATGGGTCCATGACTACTATTTAAAAAAATTAAAAAAAAATTAGTCACGGATCACGGCCGTGACTAACTCGCTGGCGTGGTTATTCCAGTCGCAAATTAGTCACGGACCGTGTTTGTGACTAATCCGTGACTACACGTAGTCACAGATAAACGTCTGTGACTAGAATTAGTCACGCCCATTTAGTCACAGATTTAGTCACGGAAAAAATCTGTGACTACCAGAGTTAGTCACAGATTTTTTAAACTACGATCCGTGACTAAATCCATGTTTTTTTTGTAGTGATACATCCTTAGCGAACCGAGTCTTTAACATCTAGTCTAACTTGAGAGTTTACCAAGAGAACAAAGAGAGTGGAGGGAGACTAAACTATTGAATATAAATTTGTCAACTATTTATAATGAAATAAATGTGTGTATTAATACTACGTGATGATAGGTGATGGTGGCGACGTGGCGTGCCCTGATTAGCTAACACCCAACCATAACATCGTTCATATATGATGCTTTAATTATATTTCCGTCAATTTTTTGGTAGAATTTGAGAAAGATGCAAGTGCTTGACCATCAGTACAAATTGTTGTGTGAGAAAGATGCAAGTCCTTATTTAGTCCCTTTGAGAGTTGTCCCGTTCAAGCCATGGATACCACCACCGTGAGACCGGTAGCTTGACCGGGATCGGTTTTGTCGCTAGCATGAACACTAAGCCCCTTGTGCCGATAGGGCCGTTGGTAGTATTAGTTTTAAGAACAATTACTATGTATTATTATTATTAAAGAAATTAGTTAAATATACAAGATTTTTCTTTAAGGAATGAATGTATTTATTTATAAAGTTCTTTATGAGTGAAAGTATATTTTTCCTTACGAGGTATCACATAAAAAATAATTTTCTGTTTTAAAAAACACGCGATAAATGTTGTGTAATGTTCTACATACTTTTTGTGAAGTTTTTTTTCCTATCTGTCACAAACAAAAAAATCATCATAAATAGTGTGTACAAGTGTGTTTATAGTAAAGTGTGTATATGAAAATTTATATGACCTATACAATCTCTTGGATCAACACCTACTCACTTTAAAAATCATTTATTTTAAAATCACTTGTAATATTGTTCCCCAATGATATGACTTTTGGTTCTATAACATCACCTTTTGTACTGATAAGCTCACTAAGTGAATAGCAGCATGCTATGAATTAGTCACGGACCGTGTCTGTGACTAATCCGTGACTACACGTAGTCACGGATAAACGTCTGTGACTAGAATTAGTCACGCCCATTTAGTCACAGATTTAGTCACGGAAAAAATCCGTGACTACCAGAGTTAGTCACGGATTTTTTAAACTACGATCCGTGACTAAATCCATGTTTTTTTGTAGTGATACATCCTTAGCGAACCGAGTCTTTAACATCTAGTCTAACTTCAGAGTTTACCAAGAGAACAAAGAGAGTGGAGGGAGACTAAACTATTGAATATAAATTTGTCAACTATTTATAATGAAATAAATGTGTGTATTAATACTACGTGATGATAGGTGATGGTGGCGACGTGGCGTGCCCTGATTAGCTAACACCCAACCATAACATCGTTCATATATGATGCTTTAATTATATATGAACGATGCAAGTGCTTGACCATCAGTACAAATCGTAGTGTGAGAAAGATGCAAGTCCTTATTTAGCCCCTTTGAGAGTTGTGTCCCGTTCAAGCCATGTATACCACCACCGTGAGACCGGTAGCTTGACCGGGCTCAGTTTTGTCGCTAGCATGAACACTAAGCCCCTTGTGCCGATAGGGCCGTTGGTAGTATTAGTTTTAAGAACAATTACTATGTATTATTATTATTAAAGAAATTAGTTAAATATACAAGATTTTTCTTTAAGGAATGAATGTATTTATTTATAAAGTTCTTTATGAGTGAAAGTATATTTTTCCTTATGAGGTATCACATAAAAAATAATTTTCTGTTTTAAAAAACACGCGATAAATGTTGTGTAATGTTCAACATACTTTTTGTGAAGTTTTTTTTCCCATCTGTCACAAACAAAAAAATCATCATAAATAGTGTGTACAAGTGTGTTTATAGTAAAGTGTGTATATGAAAATTTATATGACCTATACAATCTCTTGGATCAACACCTACTCACTTTAAAAATCATTTATTTTAAAATCACTTGTAATATTGTTCCCCAATGATATGACTTTTGGTTCTATAACATCACCTTTTGTACTGATAAGCTCACTAAGTGAATAGCAGCATGCTATGAATTTCAGCATTGTGGTTTGGGGTGATCCATGTTGTTTAAGTTTAAAGGAGTGTTTGGGTTTGCTTAAAAAAAGCGCTTTTCAGCTTTTGGCTTAAAAAAAGTTGAAAAGAGTGTTTTCAAATGACAGCTTCTGCTTAAATTAATCACTTAAAAGCTAAAAGCTGAAAACAGGTAGAAGGGTGCTTTAAACTGCTTCTCACTTTTTCTATTACACAAAAAGTACTTATTTTACCAAACACTACCAACTTTTACTTTTTGAGAATCACTTTTTTCTCAAACATTATCAACTTTTACTTTTAATCACTTTTCCCAAAATCACTTTAAAAAATCACTTTTTTAAAGTTGAAGCAATTGTAAACACTTCCTAAGCAAAGTGATTGCCATTATCTTCATTTTATATTTCCTCTCAGAGTTGTTCTCTCTTTTCAATGCTAACCTGCCATTTCTTAAGTCGGTTTCCTTAAATTTTCAGCTCTAGTGACAAATTGAATGAATGCCTTGATTTACTTAAAAATGTGGACCTATATCTTGAAGACTCATTTTTATTATTATCTTCGATAACAAGGGTCTGACACTCATTTTTATGGAAGCTCTTCGTCCTTAATAAACTGAAGAAAATTCGGAGTAATTCCTAAAAGACTAAAATGAGGGCAGAATTGCGGTTTTGATTAATTTTAAAAACTTCAACCGTAGTTACATTATGACCAACTTATTATTGAGGGGTACTATCATTAGGAGTAAAATAATAATTTTAAATAGTGCCTTCTCCATTATCTCTATAAATAAATTCAAAACAATCCCAACATAAACCTCATAATTCAGTACTGGAACAGTATCCATCGTCCATTGATAAAGATAGATAAGTAGTACTCCGTACAAAATTGGAGACAAGAAATATAAATTCGTTACAGAACTTATCTCCCTATACATATAAGAGCCACTGGTAGTTAGCTTGGTTCTTTTTCCGTTAATCCACCGTCACATCCTAACGCCATATTCAACTCTACTCTTCCATATTCACCGTCACATCCATTCCCTTAACCTTTCAATCAATCGGTGCTTAGAGTTGCTTCACTTCCGCTCATGAAGAGTTAGAAGATGTTTTTTATAAAAAACTAACCGTCCATGCCGTTTAAATGGCTGCCCCTACGGTTGTGGAAACCTTAATCGACTCATACGCCTCTATTCCCTTCACCTGTCGTATACAATCATTCTGCAGTAATTCAAGTTCAAGTGTTCAACCACAAAAAAAAAAAAAGCAGAGCACATATCGTATATATTAGCGGATGACATGACGAAATACCTCTCCTCTTCTAATTTGCTACGGTTCCACTCCTCCAACAAGGTACGCATTTAATTTTTTTTTTCAATTGCTCCATCAACTTGCAACACAAACCTGGTGTAAATTTTCTATTACATACTGTATGTTAAAGTCGAAAACTTAAAGTGTATAGAAGATTTCTGTGCACAAGCTACGGCTCAAAAATCACAATCTATGCACTTCATCTACTATGTAATTTTGCAGTGTATTTATTACTTTCAATTCAAATTAGTATTATAATTGACATTAGGCTTACAATGCACTCTGTATTGACTAATACTTCATGCCATCTTGTTTCACATGCCACCTGTAATTACACATATTCTTCAAATAACTTTTAATTGACATAGTTACCAATTTCATGAATGTTCATAACCTATTCGATAAAATGCGTAGTCACTGTTTATGTGTAAAGGTTGAATAATCTCTTAAGTTTTGATGAAATTTCTAATGTTTCAATCTTCGTTTTGCTGAAATTTCTAATGCATACTGAACTTACTTGTTGGTGTTAACTCTTAACCAGGGGCGGACCGTAGTAGAGACCCAGGGGGGCAGTGGCCCCTCCAACAATTTTTTTTTTTAATGTATATATATACCAAAAAATAATTTTCGCCCTCCCAAAAAATATTTTTTTAAGTTACCGCCCTCCCAAGATAAACTTCTTGGGTCCGCCCCTGCTCTTAACTCATACCAAGTACCCCGATTCTTGTGTTCTCCACTTTTTTCCTCTCTCATGTCTTTTTTTCTTTGTATATTCTCATTCTCATCTTTCTCGGTTCTCACTTCTTGTAGGCTTTCTTGATGTTTAAGTTAAAAAATTCTCTCATCTAATTCTTCCATTTCTTATTAGATTACAATAATCTGCCATACTCTTGTTGGTATTTTCAATCTTCAACTAATCCCTTCTACAAATACTTAATGTTAATTAAACTCATATGTTTTGAACATTCATGAATACAACAAATGTCTGAAACAATGTATAAAATTCATTTATTTAGAACATTCATTTTTTGAAACTTTTTTGTATTCGAACATGCATATTTTAAATGCCCTCCAGTTTACCTCCGTTTTTTCA